AATGCATAATTCATGGATCGATTCAGCCGAACGATTTTCGCATACGACATTTCTGCATACAAAATTCGCGCGTAATTGGCGGCACGAGCCACCTGGACGGACGCTCCTATTGCCTTTTCAATCGGTTGACAATGCACGGTTAATTACCACACGTCGCATAACCTCAATCATATGCACGAATGAACATATCAACGACGTACACTCAGAAGCGAAGAGGGTCTTTCTCTTCTTTCTCCGGTTTTTTTATCTTTTCTTTTACCAATATACATAACAATAATTCTTCTTTACGAATATATGACACGATCGAGTCACGTTAAAGGGAACTCATTGATGCTGTGCACATGCATCGCCAGTTATGTCACCAGTCGTGCGTTGCACACGATGAGTTCATCGAGCACGATATCGGTGGTATATCGCGGAAAACGCGGTGACATCACTCCCCTTTTCCGCTCGGCGAGATCTCGATCTTTTATGTTCGATCAGAAGAGGATCGAAGGAATTTATTCGATGTCAGAGAAGAAAATTGCAGAGAAAATATTGTGTGCCATCGATTATTATAGTAATTAATATCACACAGGTATTTGGATCTCGTCATCGAGATGACGAGAATTAACATCTCTTTCTGGTCTGTTCATCGATTGTGAAATCATTTTTCTTTCTCTTAGAAAAATTATATTAATTACACAATTTGCGTGATAATTCGATATTATAGGGATATTACGATGGGATAACGAAGAAATTTGAGAGAAAAAACTTGAAAAAACTTTTTCGTGGAAACTAGGGATCGATCCCAGAATCTTCGAGTTACTGGTCAATGTCTTAATCAATGGAGCTAATCAGACAATCGATATACAATACTTTTTCAATTCATATAATGGAACATCATAACTGTAATACAATATTAACGTAAAGGATCTATTATTAAAAGTTATTAAAAGTTAAATTGGAGGCATTTACGAAATTTCTTCAGAATTTTTTTATTTTCAAGAAACGTGATACAAACATCTTTACGACAATGACGCAACGAGTCAATTTAAGTTCTCGTAACATAATCGAAGCGCGACATTCAAGTAGCGCACATTGTAGGCTAATTGTTCATCAAGCCACGAGTTTCCTTGGAAATGATTCGTCGCCATTTTGTTAGCGGCGACATTATTATGTATCCGGCCAAGACACTGGCTGACCTCACTTTTCGTCATGTGGGTTTTTGTGTCAATGTCTAAATGAGTATCCAGGCGAAAGCCTCTCTTTTTCGTGAAATGTATCAAACCCACGTACGTGATTATTATTAGTACCCATAGTCTGAAGATTCTGTCGAGCGTTGGTGGAATATTCTCGATTATGCTAAATAGTGAATCGACTTAGACTCGATTAATCAATGTTAATAAATACAAAGATAATTGATGTGTTTTGACAGTTGGGTAAAACAGGAAGTTTTACATCTTCATACTAATTATTTAAGTAAGATGGTAATATAAATTCTTATCGTTCCTCACGATTTCCTACCTTCCTAGATCACCATCTACGAAGAGTAGTGTGGGTGTGAATGGAAATTCAATGAAACGTATAAAAATTTATACAACCAACGTGGGTCCGAATTGTCACGAGTGATTTATCGGCGGCAGTGAACCATGCTCGAAACGCAAGAGAACTTGGCTCTGGCCGTATAAGGTGATTTGATATATAGAGATACCAGAAATCTAACCAGAAGATTGAGAAATTCCACTAGTTTGGAAATCTCTGATGCGTTGGCAGATTGCGCAACAAGATAAATTTAAGTCGATATCTGATGATGATATATCGAAAACTCAAGAAACTTTCTTTTTTTGGGCGAACCTGAAAGCTTTTGCACACGAGAAGATATAACAATTAAACAAATTTAAGATAAACACGTTGTGGAATCTCGCTTGCGCGTATTACACGCAATACACAGTTCCGCACAACATTGTCCAACAGCCTCCTTTGTCACCGGCCGTTTAGCTTTTTCAAGAAGCGCCTCTAATTATAACAGTGGTTCATTCTGTTCTTTTTCTTCTTTTTTTTTTTTTTTTGTTTTTTTCTTCGTTCCGTATCACGCGGTGACATCAGCGGACCGCTAATTCTTTCCGTTGGTTCGAATGCTCGACACCCACGGCCATGATGAGATCAACCGAGCAGAGTGGCGTTTTAATTACCGCGTATCGTGGGTGTTCCTCCACGCGGCTCCATTCCTTTCGTACCCAGTGCACGAGGAAACCGAGAGAACCAGACCTCTTTAATTATTTATCAGCACGGCCAGAAGGTTCGTTTGATCCGGTCGCGCCTTTTTCTACCACTCCAATTAACCTTTCTCGCGCATGCGCTCTAAGGATCGTTCTTTACCACTGCGAAGTCGCTGTTGTGCGTGCACAACGAGGTTCCACGGATTTGAAGTACAAATTGGACAATAATGATTCGACGAATGTCTAAAAAGGGAGAGACATCGAACGTTATGTTATATAAATGTTATAAGCAAGTTATGGGATATTTAGAACCCCATTTCGATCTTTTGATTCGTTTCAGCTGCGGAATGACCAAGTCAAATAGTTTTGCATTCCAGATTCCATGCGGTTGTAACATGTTTGGATCGTTGGAGACGAATTACAATTACTATCGATAAGATTTCGCGTTAAGTTTTTGCATTCTATTACAATTATATTTGATAGTATGACGAAAGCACAGAAGAAACTCTTGGCGAGAACAACAATCAGATTTATTCAAATCCGTCCAATTGGTGTCAACAAGTAGCCACAGTAAAAGGCAAACAGAAGGAACTGGTTTTACCGCTGCTCTGATTGCCCCCTGGGGGTCACTTTCATTGAGCTTCGTCACGCTTCGCGATCGTCTCGCGTGAAATTCTTTCGAAATTATCAATAAATCACCATCATCATCGATCCTTTTATCTCGAATACCAGAAGCACTCTGATGTCACTTTTATCGTTTCGTTTTATCGAGAAGGGGATCTATTGACAACCACTTTATATTGTTGTGCTAATCGCGAAGTTGGCTATGTTAATGAGAGTTTTAACAAGGCATTCCTCCTATCTAGAGATATTTTTTTTTCTACGTCCATCAGAAAACTAATGTGTGTGGCGGCGAGATGTGCGTTTCACAGGCAATTATTATTCACGTACGATTTCTTGACCACACCGAGTACAGAATGAATAATTCACAACGAAACATTGTTAAACAATCGACGATAAATATTTGAGATCAAAATCGATCGATATAGAGAACAAAGTGAGAGGAAACGAGAAAAAATGGATGAAAAAATTTCTGGAGGATAACCGAGATTCGATCCTGAGCCACGCGCGTGAAAAACAAACACGCTAATGATTTATCCAATTTGGTATTTTTATATTTCGTTCTTATTCTTATTTAAAAAGATAAAAATCACTTATAACATATGTTGCAATAATATAATTTCCTAACAAATTGATTTAAATTTTTAACTAACTCAGTGTTTTTTTTTTTAAATTTGCAAATTTGATTCAATTTTTCATATTGATTGATGAAGAAAATCATGTTTAAAAAGGACTCGATGCATAAATGGTTTATTTTATATAATAATTTTATCATCATTATATTGATATTGAAGAAACCTTGGCATTACAATGGTATAATATAACTAATAATCGTCCCATTGATCAGAAACGATGATGTTCATTTATATATAGGAATATAAGTATGTTAACATAATAGCAATTATCGCACGAGAAGCATCTAATTCAAAGATCATTTATCAATAATTGACAATGCACGAACAGTGGTACAAAATAAATTCTTTGAGAGAATACAAATAGGAATAAAATAGCTTTGTTTCTTTTATATTGAAACAAATAAGAAACATTGTTATCAAACTTTTAAGGTACATTAACGAAGTGTTATATGTATGAAAAAAGTTATTATAATCATAATTATTGACAAAAATATTTATGAATATATTTATGTAAATTTTTTACATAATTACAGTACATTTTTTAACATGCAATCCTATATTTTCATATTTTCTTTTCGAAATAATTTTAAAAAGAATATATATTCTATAATATTTACATATTTACTGGAATAATATGCAATGAATGAAAATACGGTTTTGTACAAATTCTCAGATTTTATTTTCAATTAATTTTCTGGTTTAAGAGAAAGAAAGAGAGAGAGAGAAATATGGATATACTGTTAACCTGAGAAGAAATCGTTCATTATCTGAAAATGCTTTTTTTAAAACATGAAAACACGAAGAGTTAACTAAATGAATTTTTGATAAGGGAAATTTGAACGAGAAGAACATTTCGACTGACATCTTTAAAAACTTTTTTCTACCTCATTCTCGCAAATTATTATATTGTTTTAAAAATAAGAAAAATTAAATTTAAAACGACGAATATCGATAACGCATCATCTTCGTTTCGCGGAACGATCATTTGTTGCAAACTTGCAACAACTCTTAACAGATAATTAACCTCTTTCATTTTTTGCTCGAGATATCGAGATGCAAATAACTAATATATCTGATACAAAGTTAAATAATCGAAGATCGTTTCCATTTGTTAAAAGGAAAGTAAAACCTACTATCATAAATAACAACAAATTGAGATTGAATCGAATATACACCGAGATTAGGTATTTTCGTGTATGGAAATACACGAGATATCATTTATCAATGGATGACGACACGATACTGTAATCAAACGAAACATATCATCTCAACGTATTATATCAACGATCTACATATAATAAATTACATCGAAATGTAAATAAAATTCTTTTCTTAGTTACCTTAGCTATACAGCTTCCATGAATCGTAATCTTTTATTTCTCATATACATCTTTGTTATATACATATATCGACGTTACACATATACGTTTAAATATTACATATATCTTCATCACGCGAGAAATCTGAAATATAACGAATTGAGAGAGAATCTTATCGCCAATTGGATCTATTAGATTCGTCGAACAAAAATCGTCGATAATAGAATGTCAACGAGGGGAGTAGTCGTGGAGGATTTGGGAGGGGGTATCCTCGACCGCCACCACTGAAAATTTCTAAAATTCACTTAACGCGATTAAACCGTGCATTTTCGCGAGCTTCATCTTCGTAAGAGCTTAATAAAATATTGAAGAAAGAATGGTGGCGAGGAGTACCGTAGAAGCGTAGGAGAAGGAGAAAGAAGAAGCGAGGTGGACGAGTAGGAGGTGTAGAACAGGGTTGAAGCTAGGATAAACGCGTTAAATCTGAGAAATTCGGTCGACCTTTGTACTTGGTCGAGACCGAGTGCACGACCATTATGCACTCGAATCGCCGTGAACTCTAATCTCGTCCTGCCAGAACGGAAGAACGTAACACCTACTCCTCCTCCTCCTTCTCCTCGCTCGTCTCGCGTGACGAACATTTGCTCTTCTCAGGATTGCACACGGCCCTTGAAACGTTTCCAACGACCCGTACATTGCCGCGAATTATGCATAAAACGCGAATCAAAATGTTCATTATCGAGATATTGAGCTGAAAGAAGTATCCCACATATAGTCACCTTTCCCTTCCCCTTTGTCGATATTTCATAGTAAAATACACGAAAAGTTACTTTCTAGGGTTACCTAGAATAGCTAAGAACTTGAAAAAGATGTGTCTAGTGATTTTTCCTTTTTCCCTTTCTGAAAATTTTTAAATTAGAGTGTAAAATTTCTAGGGATACCTAGGATTATAGATACCTGAAAAATATCCCTAACTCTTTATTTTTTTCATAGCTCTAGGAAACTCGAGACTCGCGCAATTATTCGCAATTAGCAGACATAAATTATGCCAAAAAAAATGTTTTTCCTTTTTTTAATAATTTTCTAGAAAAAATTAACGATTAACCACGGTTATCTAGAATTAGCTACGGTAGCGAGTTAAGCAAGGCTTCAATTAGTGAATCTCCCTGGTTACAAGTTTGGAAGGAATTACACTCGAATAACGAGATTTACGTAATCTAGATAAAGAACACGGAAGTGGAAATCTTGATCAGATAACGGCCTCGGAATGGCTGAGCGACAAACACTCGTGGCAAGCGGAAGCGGCGATGAGGAATGATGGAGTTCGCACAAAGGAACGTTTTGCGTGCTCAACCACGCGTGTAATCATCACTTTTCACCGATCCAAGCTAAATCCATTTCTACGATTACTCCCCTGTAAAGGAAAATCTAACTTAACCTTAAATCATCCAAGCCTCGTAGGCTTCAAATTCGACTCGATTCGACACGAAATTATTTATTTCGAATCGAATGTTTAAAAAATCAAGTCAAAAATTTATATACTTTTACGTGAGATAATTTTTCGATAATTGTGTATATACAAATTATCCGATGACACGTATTTGATGTAATCCAATGAACCAGATCTTTTCGTCGTAACGCAACTTCTAATTTGAACCGGCACTGCTCAAGATTGTACAATATCTCCACTGGAAACATCCATCCTTAAATAAATTCTTTTTCCGAGCTCAAGGGGTTACTTACGAGTGGCTTATTTGCGTACCGTGCTATTTAAATAAACATACGAACTTTACAAGTTATTGTACAAGTTACGTTGTCCATATACTTACATTACTCAATTCAAATCGGAAACAACGATCGAAGAACCAATTTTAACTTTCGAGAACAACTTTCAAGAATATCCTAATCATCTAAAATCCGATCAACTTATCAAGAGAGAAATAAAAATTACGTAATAAAGTGACGAGACTCTCAGTTTTTTTAGGATTGCGAAAAACAAACGAAAACGAAAAGCCAAAAGCGCAAGGATTGCAAAAATCATACATGTTCATACATTTCTGTACTCGAAACGTCTAAAAACAGAAACGATAATGTTCCAGGTGAAATTCGCGCGCGCGCGAGCGCAACTTCGCGCGGATAAGTGGATCGACTGCATCACGGGAGAAACATCTTAACCGTATTCGAGGCGCGCGTGCACACACCCACGATAAAGCTGTTCCAATATGCATTAGAACGCCGTTACATGCCAAGGTGAACGCGACCGAATAATTTATTATACCGTCACCGTGAGCTTGCGCGCACACATAGCCATGATCCTCCCTAGTCTTATACATTTAGCATTTATTATCGTATTGCGTGCCATTTTCACGGTTACGTTTCCTGTCATCTCGCTCGACCTGCTACGACTCCATATTTTTTTACTTCTTTTTTTCTTCGAAAATAAGAATCAATATGGCGGATCGGGCATAGAAAGTTTGGATTTTGAACCTAATCAAACGTTTTCCACGCTGTATTTATTATTATATTATTTCTAAAAAATGAACAGAGATTGTTACAGAGATTCTTGATGTGATTTTCTTGGACTACTTTGAAAGTTTAATTTTATGAAAGAAACCATATTGAATGTACGAAGCTTTATTTAACATTTTCAACGCTCTTCTTCTGTACCAAAAATAAATAAAAATTGTTACAAAGATTCCTGATACACTTCTAGTTTAACACTCACGTAAATAATCGGATATGTACAAAGATCTAACATTTCCAATTCCTCCATTCTTTCCGCAGTAAAATTAATTTAAAAAATGTTAGAAAGATTCCGAAAAGATTTCTACATCCACACTGTTTCCATTAAAGCACTCGTCATAAAGGAACCGATACGTAAGAATGTATCTAACATTTTTAACGCTCTTTTCCTATTACTTGCATAAATTAAAAATAATTGAAAACTATTACAGAGATATACTTCCATATTTCCTTTTGTTTCCATTTAAAAAATTCATCGTAATAGAACAAATACGAAGAATCGAATCCAACCTGACCCAACATCTTGGAATTCGTCTCTCCACTCTCATTTACTTCCGCCCTAAAAATAATTTGTTGCACAGATTCCTTGTGCACCCACTTTGGTTCAGTTTAGCATTGGATAATCGTTTCTTCCCTCTACCAAATCTCAAAATATACCTGGTACGTATATATGGTTCGATGAGGTCACGGTTCGGTGTACGTAACACCGTGGCGTAATTTTAGCCGATACTCTCAATAGAATCCCGATGAATATGAACAAAAATATTCCAACAGTTTGCGGAATTCGCTTGCTTAAGCCTATTACCATAACGTATTCTCGTTCCACAGAGATACAGAGAAAGAGGAGCAGGAACGAATGATGAATCCAGAAGCCGACAGAGGAGGCCACCGAGATGCAGTCTTTTACGATCCTCCCGCGACAGTCGAACATTGTACTTAATCGCAATCGTATACGAGATCATGACGCATTCCTTGTCGAGATGCAACACGAAGATGGCCGTTGGGGTCGGCTGGTGTTCGTCAGCCTCGTAAATATCGCAATTCAAATCCCTCTCTCCACACGTGGATTCCATAGCGGGGAGGTCGATGATACCCGAGGAGAGCGTGCCACGCTTCCAAGCCTCACGCAGCCCTCCAGATAGATGCGCTTTCTAATGGTAATTTAAAATCGCTTAACGAGACATCGATTAACGGTTGACGTATGAGGCCAATGGAAAATCCGCGGCACGAGTGCCAACCGATACCCGATCATCCTTTGACATTTCTCGATTTATTCATACACGGTGGATTTTTTGCTTTTTGCGAATTTCGATTTCGACTTAACCCTTTGAGGGCCTAAATCGCTCTAATAATCCTGAAAGAGTTATCCAAACTCTTTTTTGATCTCCTAAACCGGATTTATTTAAATCCGTACACAGATTTTTTCTAGGTTAATTATTCGTGAAAATGTTTGTTTGATATTTCGAAAGATTGAGAAAAAGCAAAGAGGCATTTGTTTCTATTCTCGACTCGAGGGTAGATGATAATTTCCACAAGATTGTTTTACCTTAGAATAATAATGTTTCCTTCGCCGAATGCCGAAACTTGAACAGCTGTACGGGATCAAAGTTTCTCCCGTACGGTTTTTAATCAAACAAGCAAGTTGGAAATGAACGATATAAACGAAGGATTAAAAACTGAAACTGATCGAGAGCAACCGAAAAATAGAGAGAATCCGGGGACTTGTTTGAAACAAGAAGTAGTAAATCTAACAAAGTGTTCGATATCGAAATCGAATTTACTTACAAATTCGATTCTCATGTATAATGTGAATCAAGAAAAGACTCATTACAACAAATCTTCAACTAAATTTAGAGATTCACGATTAACTGTATATATATTCTCTCTTAAGATGACGAGAATAATCATTTCTCTTTTCCCCCTTTTAATCTCATCGATTATGAGAGATCGTTTTTTCTTTTTCTTAGAGAAATTATATCAATTATATATTTGCGTGAATAATTCGATATTATAGGGATATTATAAACGAGATAATGAAGAAATTTGAGAGGAAAAACTTGGAAAAACTTTTTAGTGGAAACTAAGGATCGATCCCAGAATCTTCGAGTTACTGGTCAATGTCTTAATCAATGAGGCTAATCAAACAATCGACATACGATACTTTTTTAATTCATATAATATAACATCATTATATATTATATAAATTACTAATTTATATACATAAACACGAAACAGGAACCTAAATCTAACAAAAAAAAAAAAATGTCGATGCGGAATCAAATTTACTTGCAAACTCGATTCTCGTATATATATAAAACGGGCTAAGAAAAAGACTCATCAACAGCTCCAACTAAAAGAGAGATCCACGATTAAATATCCCCGCCCTCTTGTCTCGGATTGCCTGGATCCAAGTTTTCTTCATCGATCGTGGTCTAGGATGAGCCTTCGAGGTAAGAGGGAGGGCGAAATTCGATAGACAACCGTGGAACATGTGTATATCTCGAAAAGTGTGTTTACCCCGGCAGGGCCACGAAAGTCAGCCAGAAAATCTAATAACTCGGCAAATCAAATATATTGGCGGAGGAAAACGTAGTTTTCGACCCGAGGGCTAAGGGTTGTTCTCGCCGGCCGGGAAGAAAAAAACTTTTCTTGATCAGCAGTTCCAGATTAGGCAAGATTACGGCTCAACTTTGGACCGAATTACATTTTTATGGAATTCTATTTGTCGTTATTCTAATTTTTTCCAATCATATGAGTAAAAATACAAACTTTGAATATCTGTGTTGCTTATTCGTATTATAATAATAATCCGTTCTGTTAAATCAATATAACAGGATTTAAAAATGATGATATATCTCCTCAATCTTTTCTTAGGCAATATTAAGATGATTCTCTGACCGTTGTAATTTATTTATAGAAATATATTCCCACTTTTAAAAGTGATTTTCATAAATTTTCTCGAGCTGCTTGCAAAATCAAATAAATATCGGCATCGAAATATTAAATATCCCTGGGATACATAACAAGATTATCTTACATTTCTTTCAAATATTTTTCCACGATGTCATTCGTATCTTTTTTTTTTCCCCCACATTATTTCGAAATAAATTACATTTTACATATTAAACGATTAGAAAGAATGTCGAGACATTTTATCTCGTCAGATTCGATCGAAGGAAATTGATATCGAGAGATAATGGTCAACTAACGCGGTTCGTGTATCAAATAGTTCAATTTAGGTTAGTGTTGGATTGTTTGTACGATTATGGTCTTAAGTTAAGAGGGAGTCACAGGGTGTCAAGTGCTCGCGTGCATCGCACAAATAGATTGATGAATTTAGGGTGACGTTGAACAACCTTATCCTTATGTTTCTTCAAATATTCGTAATGCCACTTATCAATATTAAATGGCCAACTTTAACAGCAATTGGAGGATCAGGATGTTAAACGATTATCTGGTTCGTGTTAAAGTGACCGGATGTCGGATATTAACCGTTTCATTCCGTTTGTTAAATGGTTAGATTTGACTTCAAGGCCAGCCACCACGTATGTGTATGTATATGTATGTATTACTCCACCACCGTGCGTTGAAACCATATCCATCCATATCCTTCCTCCCATATTCTTCGTTCAACAATTTCTCAATATAAAATAAACAAAGAGAGAAAGAAAAAAAAAAAAATTTCGAATTTTCCTTCTCCATTTTCTTTTTCCTTGCCTAACTTTCGTAACCGTGCACACACAGTGGACACACCGTGGATAATTTATTTGCCAAAGGTACGAGAAAGCAGCAGGAAACGGTGGATAAGGGGCGCCGAATAAATCCTCTCAACGGCGCAGGAAGTAGCTGCATCTAAGACTTTGACCGGAAGTGGTACGTCACCGGCACCCCATGCACCCCAAGAACCAATCGAATGGGACGGGGAAGAGAAGTGGTAACGATTAATCGATACTCGAATAAGAACGGGGGAGGGGGAGGGGGAAAAAGAATCGCCTCGAGTCGCTTCGATATATATATATATATATATATATGTACGTATAGAGAGAGAGATAGATAACTTTGTATATATAACACTGTGTGTTTCTATATACGATATTTATCCGTTACGATAAACATTGGATAAGCGCTTCGAAACGTTCTTAAGTGCTACGCGCTATACATCGGTAGTCATTGCCCATTCGCCGTTCGAGAGAGATTGATCCTCCTCGATACAAGAATCAGCGCGTATATTTTTATCCCTTTTCCCCCCTTATTCGATTTTTTAATAACGAAGGGAACGGATCGATATCGAATTACGATTTTTCGAATGTTTATTCGAAGTATTATATATTAATTTAATGAGTTTTTTTGATTCTCGATTGATCTTGGAAAATTTCCAAGTTTGAACTTCTCGAAGTATCGATTAATTAAATTTCGTTAGTTCGAATATCTCGAATGCTTGGGAATTTTCTCTGCATTTTTGTGTAAAAACAAATTTCTTCTCGAACATATGCTCGAAAGTTATATTCACGATTGAACGGGAGGAAGAGAGAATTCTCCTCGAAGCGAGTAACTTTACACCTTATAAATAACTGTATCTCTTTTCTCGATTGCTTGCAAAAAATACAATATTTTCTTTCTACTAGTCGAAATCCAACCATTCGTACGTATCAACGCATACGTATCGAACACTACCTGACAATATATTATCTACAATTCAACGCAATATAACGATACGAAAGAATCAAGAGAAATCAAGCATTTTAAATTATTATACACTAAATTTAAATCTTTCGCCAAGATAATCGTAACGAATCGTTAAATTCGAAGGGAGACGTATCCCCTTCGAAGGAAAAAAAATTCCTGGAGGAAGAAAAATTGCTGGACAAAATTATTTTTTTTACCAATTTTTAATTTAAATTCTCGACAAACGAAGACAAGTACGGTTTCGATATTCGAGCGAGCCTTCCTCGCCTCCTCGTCGAAACAATTCGTCTCTATCGGAGGGAACGAAGGAGCGAAGAGAGAGCGAAGGAAGGAAGGAAGAGGGACGAAGATACGAAGAAGTTAAATGGTATTCCAACCGGTTGAATAATACGTGGATGAATCGCGTTGTCGTTGGCTTTTCACGAAAGGGGGAGGCAGAAACGACGAGAGGAGAAGTTTCGCAACAGTTTGTCGCAAGATCGGTGGCAAGGGAGGGAGAGGGGGCGCACTAGGCGCTATGGATCAAAAACTATCGAGAAAGCTAGATTCTGCCGGTTGGAAATATCCAGCGAAAATAACCAGTTGCATTCGGGTCAGAGGAAGATTCGCTTCGATGTATGTAACGCGCACGATGCTCATCGACAACTGTTTCCACTTTCATATACGAAATTTACGATCCGGTATTACCGTACACCAATAGTTGGAAAAGCGTGTACTATATATA